GGGGTTTCCTCTGGGTGGTGTTTCTGCTTGCTGGTGTGGGAGGGATTGGGGCCCCTTGATATCTACACCTGCAGGTACCCCCTTGCTACCAGATGGTTGGACCCCACTTGTCTAGCCATAAAAGCTCTGGTAAGACTGTGTCTGTCATTTTGGGGGCTATTATGAATCAAATTACTTCCCACTGATCCGCTAGCTCTAGCCTCACTGGTTCAGTCAGTGGGTGGCATAGGCTCCTCCCATTAGGGATCCATTGGCCTGTTCGAACCGGATCAGGTGGGCCAGTCTTTTTGCTCTGCTCCCCAGTTTCAGTACTATGGTTAGGTTGATCAAGCACCTCATGCAGCCTGAATCTATTAGGGCTTGAAAATCCCCCTGGTTTCCTGTTTTGGGGGCTGTGAGGCGTATTGGAAAAAGTAAAGGGTCAATTGGTTCACTCACCATTGGGTCATTTTCTCCCTTGTCCTCAATGTCATAGGATTCGGGCAACTGGTTGTCATTGCCTGGGGTTCCACCACTTTCACCTGGGGGGAAGGGGCCTCTGCAGCCTGGAGGGCTTTCCGGGACGTGTTGGTGGTGCGTTTGGGGCCTCCTTCTGGGCATGCCCTTGGCGGTGGGTCTGATCTTGGTTCCGGAGCTGGGGTTGGGCACGCAGATGCCATGTGGCTCATCCCCCTGCATCTGTAGCATTTCAGGGGACTGAGAGAGGGTTGGTCTCAGGGCCCACTGTGGTGCTGTGGTTCCCCGTCGCCTGGGTGGTTTCAGATCAGGTTGACCTCTCTTGCATCCGGTTGCTTTCTCATGTCATTGGCATGCAGACTGCTGTCAACTTTTGTTGCTACTCGGAACCACTCAAGAGTGTCAATTTGAAATGTCACGGTATGCGGTTACTTGGCAATTTGCTTGTCCAGGCTTATTCTGAAAAACTGCACCAGCAGCCATTCTGGTAAAGGGGGTAGCATTCCTATGACCCTCCTAAATTCACAGATGTGCTCTTTGATGAAGCAGCCCCTCTGCTTTAGATTGCTGAGTTCCTCTTCCGCATATGGGTCCTCCTCTGCCTCCTCAAATCTGGCCTCTAGCAATTGCAAGAAGTCATCTATGTCTTGCAGTTGGGGGGATCTCCTCTTGTGGAAATGTATCTGGGAAGTAGGGTAAGGGAACTCAACTTCAGCTGCCTTAGGGGCTAATTTCCACCAGTACTCAACCTTTCTTGCTTCTGCTGCTGGGAAAGGAATCACAGCTTGGCTGTCTGGAGCTAGCCGCATACCTCCAGCTGCAATCAGTCTCTCTCTTCAGCCATGATTGCCTAATTTTTCCTCCAAGCACCCCAAATATTGGGGGAGTGCTTGGAGAGCCCGGGATTCAGGAAACCCGGAAATCTTGATAGATTTTGAAAGTCAGTTTCGGTTCTCTGTGAAGTTTCCAAAAGATGAGCTAATTAATTCACGAGTCTTGAGACAAAGTTCAAAAGAAATCCATTCATTTATTAGGATCAACATTTCAGCATGTCCTTCTGCGGAGCCAAAACTGATTTTCACTTTATGCCGTCTGAACTTACATATGTCCATATATACTGAAAATGTGCTTTACAGCAGAGAACTTAAGAGAAAGAAAGGGTTGCAGAGGTATTTATATAACAAACACATTCTTCCTCCTATGCTGACCAAAACATTGTTTTTGTTAACTCATTATACTTGGCTTCCAAAGTCTGTCTGAAATGTTGCTTGTCATAGGCACATAGGGGAGAAAATAATAATTAATGACAGTGGTAAATTGAGATGCCTCCCTGACCAGTCCCGAATTTATGATTTATTTTCTTGTGTGTATTAAGCAATTTAGTCCTATGGGCGTTCTTTTGCTGGAAACAGATCAAAAACACTGTAAATCATGGCCACATGACCATGGAATACAATTGCCATAAAGGAGAGCCAATTGCCAAGAATCCAAAATACAGTTATTTGATTAGGAGGGGTGTATATTTGTCAGAACTCTGGAACTGGATGATAAGTAGCTTTTGGGGATTCCATCATTACTTTAACCAGTCATAGGTTGAGAACTACTTGTGTTCCTATCCTCAAGGGTTAGGAATACAAGTAGGAAGTAGCCAGGAAGAGATGAAAAGGGTCAAATAGAATTCATTATGATAAATACCATGCAATTCACATCACAAAAAGTTTTGTTGATCATATTTTTCATTTGTGGCTTCTTTCTTCAACGGCATAAACAAAAGTAAATCAGTTTGACAGCATTAGTCCTGCCTGTCAGAAGTCCATTAGGATGTCTTCTTTAATTTTGCATATTTGGTCCAAATCATATTCGACCTGTAAATGCAAAATTGCTTAATGGTGTTATGCCTTAACATTTGTTCTAGGGAAAAATACATTGCATCGAGGTGATCTAATAACTCATCAATCTTTCTTCTATGACATCTCTCTCCTATAATGTTTTCTACCCTTATGGGGCATCCACATTATGCAAAGTATTACTTAGCAAGTCAGATTTGCTACTTGCCATTAAAACAACTACATAAAGTTTTAGAGAATGAGGCCTTTTCAGTTGATCTGCTACTCCCTGTTTCCAGATAAAGAGTAACCATTCTCTGAGAATAGTTCTCCATTGTTTCTAAGAAAGCTTTATTCTGCTTTCAATCCAAAGACCCAAGCTGGCATAAAATGGTGAGGTGGATGACAATGTCCTGCTAACTAGCAGGATATCTGAATCAGGATACTTGACACTTATATTGTTCTCTTTTAATTTACATTCTTGATAATAGGGCTATCAAAAATGTCATAAATATAAAAAGAGTCTTGCTGGATCAGGCAATAGATCTATCTGATGCAGCTTATTGGATCATACAGTGGTGCACTTAATGCATTTGGGAAAAATAAATGCTAGATTTAGTTGATAGATGCTTGTCATTGTTACTTCTTTATAACCACTATTTGTGGCAGCAATAAACAGCAGTCAAAATTAAAAACCATTGGTATACTCTTCCATCAAATCTTTCCAATTCTCTTTTAAAATCATCCAAATTGGCTGTCATTACCACAGCTATTGGCAGCAAATTTCAGTTTTAACTTGTATGCAATGTAGTAAAAAAAACATTTCCTTCTCTCCGTCTTGAATCTCCTTCCTGAGCAAGTTGATTGAAAAAAAATATAGTTGAGGCCTATCCAGCATCCTCTGGAGAAAAATAACTTTTGAGATCATCAGTTTAGTATTCTACATTTGGATTTTTGTAAAATAAGCATGTCTTCACATTCTCATCAAATTTGTTGGATAAGGTGTTGACTTCTGCAAATTCAACTTTATGCTAGTATGTTGCTGAGAATTTTGAATCATTTGGCATATATATTCCTGCCCTTTGTGATTGCTGCTATGGGTAATTAGATGTATTCTTCCTCCTTAGGAAACAAAGATGATATCTTACCCCCTTTCTGGAAGGTGTTTTCCCATGCTTCTATTTGCCAATCAGTCAAAATTAGACAATAAAAGTATACATTGAGGTTTTTAGTTGACTCTGTAAAAGTGGTAGCATTTATAAACATTTTAAAATATTGTAAACTTTAATATTTTATGAATTCCAGTAATCGATAGCAGGTAACTTCATGATAATCCTATAATTGATAGTACATGTTTGCACTTGGAAGCTAAGCAGAGTCAGGTCTGGTTGATAACTGAATGGGAGACCTTCAGAAAATACTAGAGCTCTGGACCAAACTGAGAAGTTCAAAAAACATATTGAAAGAAGACAGTGATCAACAGATGGATGTATTATCAAATTACCTGGATTCATGTTCCAATTGAAAGAGATTGAAATACATGTTTGTATTTTCAATTATGCTCAATTTCAATGATTTAGGCTTGTGTTAACAATTTCTATTGTTGAACCACCATTTTCTGTCTGAAAAAGAATTTATGTCTAAGAAACATTGTTTTACATGCTAATATAGATGAAATATTGCTTCCCCTAAGACCTGTAATGTGGGACGGGGAATATCAGCCCTGCAAATCAGATTACGTATTTGGTTTGGAGTTAACTGTCATTTTATCATGATGCCTGAATGGTTAGTGCTTGGAAGCAGTTCTCTGCAGACTTTTTCCTCCCACTGAATTGTTGTCTCTGTGAAGGTGAACATCATGGTAGAGTTCAGGTGATTTAATCCATTTCTTAGTGATCCAATTTCAACATGTGTCTATATTAGTTGTTATATTACTACAAAGTAAGTCTTCAACTTATGGCCCATAAAACACTTCTGGCCACGCTACATCCACCCACCCACCCCCCAGAGATGTGATTCTTCTCCAACTCACCCCCAGGCAACTAGCTAGGTTAGTTAGTTAGTACTAGTTATACTTTATATAGAGTTTGTGAATGAGATTATTGTCCCTCTTCTTACTTTCCCCATCACAGTTCTGAACAATTGTTTTTCAAATATAGATATTTTTTGGTTTACTATGATGGTTTATTTGTTTCATAATGAAAGTAATGGAATGTTTCAGACACAATCTTTATGAAAGAATTCTTCACATTTTCAGATGCTATGCACGTGGAAATTAAACAAGAACACAATAACAAGTAGACTGAACTAACGATAGCCATTAAAGAATCTTCCCAATATATGAATGCCAAGGAAAGTGAAAATCAGATATTAGTAAATAATACGAATAATGTGTCAAGTATGAAAATCAAAACATCTTGCAATTTTTGAACCCTGCTTTTATGCTAACAAATACATATTCACTTATATACAGCAATAATTAAAGATATTCTTTTTAAGAAATAGTTTTTGATATAGTTATTGTTTAAAAAAATAGCTAATGCTAAGAAAATGTAGCCTTGGATTTTCTCCCTTACTTTATGAATGCCAAGTCTGCTAAGAGATATTTTACTGGGCTATAAGCCCAAAGAGAATCCAGTAGAAGGACAGATGTAGCATGTGTGATCATTGCTTTAAACATATTCCAATTGATATTTCTGCTTTTTTCAAACTTTGCAGGTGCTAAAGAAATCGATATTGCTGCTACTCTGGAGCATTTGAGAGATCAAAGACCTGGAATGGTTCAGACAAAGGTACAATCATTTCTATTTTAAATACTAATGTATGATTTCTATATATTGTTATTTAGAAATAAGTATAATTAAATTATAAATGGTTAAACATATGTAGATTTTTTAAATAATGTAAATAAACTCATTCTTGGTTTTTATAAAATTCTTAATTATTGTTAACATGAAATTAAATACATATTTAAATTAGTAAATAAAACAGTTTCTAAAACAAACTTTATTTATTTATTTCTCTCAGGTACATTCAAAATATGTTCCTGTAAGCAAGGGGGTGAGCAACTGTGGCCTCATTATGACCTGTGGACTTAATTCTCAGAATTCATGAACCAGCCGTGCTATCTTACGAAGTCTGGGAGTTGAAGTCCACAAGTCGTAAAGGGGTTGTAGTTGCCCACCCCATCATAAGCTATATTGGAAAAAGTTAAGTAATCAGCAATATTTGATACATTTGAAGAAAGTAGATTAGGTCAAAGAAATTTGTGTCCCAATAAATTATCTATAAAAATATCCATAAAATTTCCATGATAAAAATACTAAGATAGAAGCAGCAGGATGTTTGAATCAAAATAGACTCTCATAATTTGATATTTGACTAATAGGAATTTTACCAGATAGATAAAAATAATAATTAAATAAATTGTATCAAGGGCATAACTATTTACTAAAATACATTGAGTGTTTAGTTACATTTATTTTCCTGCTTATAAAAATCATTTCCAAGATTAACAACAATGGGAAATTAATGGGTTTTTTTAAGTTGCAACGTAACTAGGTTTTTTATTTTTAGAGACAGGATATATTGATTATATGTGCATTTATAAGCAGTTCACTAAGAAAAAGTATTGAATAGAATATATTTCCCTCCTCAGCTTTCTTTTCATTCACTTATTTCATTTATAGAGGAAAAATAGAGTTATATGTAGCCCTCAATTTACAACCAGACACTTAGCAACCATTCAAAATTACAACAGACCTTCCCAGAGCTACTTGTGACCTGGTTTCCAAGTGACTTCTCTGGTCACATGATTGTATTGGGGTGCATGGTCCCACCATTTTAAAGAGAATATAGAGAATCACTTTTGAACATCATGGATAGGAAACCAGAACTGTGCAATGAACTGAAAGAAGTTGTAAAGGATGAGTATTTTTAAAAAAAATCTGTTGCAGATCAAGAATCAGAAGAAAGCAATCTGAATATTAGAACAAACTAGAAATTGACAATAAAAAAGAAAAGCCATAAAGAAGAAACAAAAAGATCTTAGGAAGGTAACGATTTCTGAGAGCTGTTAAAAGTCACAAGAAGCAATATTACCACAATACCTGTAAACCCTTAGCCACCTGGATAATCTTGGGCCAGTCATTCTTTTTCAACCCAACTCACCTCATAAGATTATTGTGGGGAAAATCGGAGGAGGAAGACATGTTTTATATGGCCACTGCAGAGGTGGGTTCCTACCAGTTCGCACCTATTCGGTAGAACCGGTTCGTCAAATCTACNTGGAAAATATTGTTTTCCGATGGTCTTAGGTGACCCCTGTGAAAGGGTCATTAAACCCCCAAAGCGGTCCCAACCCACAGATTGAGAACCACTGCTCTAGTGAGTCAGATGTGACTGTCAAGAGACACATCCCAATAACCAAGCCATGAAGGACTTTAAAGGTGGGAACCAGTACCAATGCAATCTATCTGAAATGGGCCCAAATCAACAACAGCCTCAAAATGAGAGTTTCCTTATGTAACCTGGTTAGTTAATGCGATATTGCTGCGATCTATATCATGTAGTGGTATGCACTGAATAAGCTACTACTGAAGATTTATGAGCTATTGTTATTAGAAAATTGCTTCTGCTTTATTCACTCACTGGACCATACAACATTATAAATATGTTTACATTTTGGACATACTAGCATTTGAGAAGAGTTTGTCAGTTCTTTCAATAACATGGGAGGTTATCCTAACTATTATGGGTGCTTCATCACTGGAGGTTTTTAAGAAGAGACTGGACAGTCACTTATCTGAACTAAAATACAAACATTTCTTTAACATATTTAGGACAATTGCAGTGGATTTTCACTGTTAAAAATTATATAATAGAGTACATTTCTAAAGAGTTGATTAAACACTTGTATGGTTGACCATTCCCAATTTATTCTTACTAATAGGTGTGATATCAATAGTTTCAATTTCTCAATAAAAGGAGCAACAATGCATGTTCCACTAACTTAAACTCAGGCCACAAGGGCAAAGATACTACAAGATATGCAAACATTTACCTGCTGGAATTACCAATGGTAATATGTTATAATGATGTGGAATAAATGAGCAGCCAGCTTGAAACTCCTTAATGCCCAATAAAGGGGTGTATTTCAGCATCAAAATGTTTAGAAACATTTTCTTTGCAATAAAGATTGCATTGGTTCCTTTATTAATACATTTAACTATCATCATCTGCATATGCACATTCAATTTATTTCTAACAATTTTCCAGAGAGTACAGCTTGGTCCTTGTGCTATTTATTTGGTATAATGTATGGTGCTAATCCTTTCTCAAATATAATTCAAGCAGCATGCTTGCTTCAACATAGCTGCATACAGTGTACTTGTCCATATAATAGCTAAGGGTCTCTAGTTTATAAATAAGCTAGAAATGTTATCTTCAATCTGGTTAAGGATTGAGACAGAGATAAGAGTCATAAATATGCTCATCCTATGAAGATGAATGTCTCTAAGAAAAAACCTCTTCCGAACAAACAATTAAGCCATGTAAGTTGCTACAAGATGTAGCAAAGGTCACTCATAGGGACAACATTTTAAGGAGTTCAGAAAAATTCATAGAGAATAACATGATTCATAGACTACTAGTTATGATCAATGCACCACTGCCAAAGTCAATGTCTCTTTCAAAGCTAGTTGAAATAGAATAGAATAGAATAGAATAGAATAGAATAGAATAGAATAGAATAGAATAGAATTCTTTATTGGCCAAGTGTGTTTGGATACACAAGGAATTTGTCTTTGGTGCATATGCTCTCAGTGTGCATTAAAGGACATGAAAAGATACATTCACCAAGAATCATAAGGTACAACACTTAATGATAGTCATTGGGTACAAATAAGCAATCAGGAAACAATATCAATATAAATTGTAAGGATACAAGCAACAAAGTTACAGTCCTGTAGTCATAAATTGGGAGGAGATGGGTGATAGGAAAGATGAGAAGACTAATAGTAATAGTAATGCAGCCTTAGTGAATAGTTTGAAAGCAGTGAGGGAATTATTTGTTTAATAGAGAGATGGTGTTTGGGGGGAAACTGTCCTTGTGTCTAGTGGTTCTGATGTGCAGTGCTCTATAGCGTCATTTTGAGGGTAGGAGTTGAAACAATTTATATCCAGGATGCGAGTGTCTGTAAATATTTTCACGTCGCTCTTCTTGACTCGTGAAGTGTACAGGTCCTACCCGAAAACAAGAGTAGTGAGATAGGCCTTAGGCCCGATTTTAGCAGAATGCTTTCACAAGCTAATCAATGGTAGCATTATTGCTATGCATGTTGTAACTGTTAAGCGTAACATGAAGGGAGGTGGAAGAAGCCCAAATTTTTCATACCAAAAGTTGCAAATATGCTCTGTGTCCACAATTCAAGGAGTAACTAAGAACAGTCACATGGAACACAGATTTGTGTTTTTTTAACTAGAACAAAAACTGAATCTTCTTGTTAATTTCCAAAGATCACTCTCTTTTTGGATGTTTTTTCAGTTAACAATTCCCATTGCCTTAGTTTGCTTACTATGAAATAATTATGGAGCCAAATCTGATAGATCACATCCTGTTGTGCTGTTTATCCTTCTCACTGCATGGATTCTGAGCAGATGAGATTGCTCATATGACTGATTATTTGCAGGGAAGAAACAGCAGGGGTGGAGAAGGAAAGATGGGAAAGTATCAGAACCAGGCTGAAAAAGTTGAATATATGTTCAGTTTAAGTGCCCACCGGAGGAATTTTCTGTGATTTGCTTAGATCAAACATCAACAGGAGTATTCAATGTAGCCCTAATTTTTTAAAATTAGGTTGCATATAAGGGAATTTCAACTCCCAAGTGTATGAAACCACAAACATAACATGTAATTAATCCAGGAGGAAACCCTTTAACACTAAACTGGGTAGCCAATGTTTTAAATACAAGGGAGAAACCTTTTAACCACATATTGGATAGCCCGTGCCCTACATACTCATGAGCATCCAATACAGTGATTCTTCCAGAGAATTCATGTGAAGGAGGAAGGAAAAGGAGAATCTGCTATTAAAAATCTGCAAAAGAGTTTTCTCCTACATGATGTATGTCAGAGGTCACCAATTCCCAGACCGTGGCCCATTCGGAATCTGGCCATGCAAGTGGAGGGTCAACATGCATCTGCACGTGAACTTCCATTTGCACAAGTGGTGGGCACTTGCACGAATTATGGGTGCTTGTGCAAGCGAGCAGACCTTTACAAATTGAGCTATTTTGACAGTTGTAAACCTTTAACCACCTTTAGAAGCCAGACCCTTTAGAAGCCAAACCCTTTGATTTTTCTAATCAAAGACCCTAAGTGATTATATTTGCTATGCTGTGTGATATTATTATGTGACCCTAAAACAGGCAATTTTGATGGAAGCATAACACATTTTTGCTTCATATAATTTTTAATGTGCAATAAACACGTCACTGAAGAAAAAAACACAAGCATTTTATATCTATTTGTGCAACTAAAAGATTCATAGAAATGTTTGCTTTGCGTCCTAAAATCATGATAAATAGATTTACTGTAAGTTTGTCTCCTAATATCTTTATTTTCCTCACTATGGGTGGTATTTGATTTTTCTAATCATTCATACAGTCATTTCTGGAACATTTGCTCTGGTTCTCTTTTTAACCACATTAAGGCAAGAGCATCTTCATTTGCTGAAGATATGACTTTTTTATGACATCAAATCATGTTGCCAAAGTCATTGGTGCACAAAATAAATGTGTGGGTTTTTTTAATTGGATTCCTAGCAACTAACAAACTAAACAGATATATGGTTAAACAGAAAAGATGGCCACAAATATAACACAAAATCATTTTTTGCACAATACGTTTATTCAAATAAAAAGATTGTTTAGCAAGAAGAAATGAAGTAGGATACTGTTATGAATTTCATTTCATTTTATTTCATTTTAATTTATTTGTATGCCGCCCTTTTCATGCAACAACCAGGAATTTAATAATTGTCCTAATTCAGACCAAAAATCCATAGAGTTCATCATTCATTTCCAGAGGGACCAAGGAGAACAGTCCAAGAAATATAGAACTGGACAACTTGATTGTAGTATAGTAGAACTAATCTGGCTGCAGAAATACCAGTTTAAAAATGGAGTTATATTCATTGGGCCCCAAGATGTTAGGAGTACAATTTACAGATCATTCAAATTTGCACCCATTTATTATTCATTGTTCAAAACTGAACAGATCACAAAAGGCTGACATGAATACACGAAATCCAAGCTTCAGCTGTTTCCAGAATGGTTGTTTCAGAACATGAGAAGAATGATCCGCCAGTCTGAGCCCAGAACCTATTTGGAAAATCAAAGGTGATCTCTTACTCAAAAAATATTTGGGTACCCCATCAGACAAGTGGTGTGAATATATCAGCCTTTTGTTCTATTTTGAATGTTTCAAATATAAATTTACATACATTCTTGCAAATAAAAGTCAGAAAAATGAAATATGCCCAGTGCCGTTTAATTAATATATAAATCTGCTTTCTCTTAACAGTGATGGTATATAGTAGGATGGATTCCCAGAAGAGAGGGTTGCACTCCAGAGGAGTAAGAGGCAATGCATTCCAGATACTTTGTGAGAGAGAAAGAGGATGAAGACAATAACAGTTCCCAGAATATCTGGTACTTGCCAGTGTTTAGTCGGTTCCACCACAAAANTTCTTTGAAAAGAAAAAGCCCTTATAAACAGATAAACTTTGACATCCCGTAAATTCTACTGAAAATGTTACCTAGCCTGGCAACAAAATGCTCGGAAACCAACTCACAAGCTCAGAGAACGAGCCTCCACCCTCATCCTATACCTGAGTTACAGATATTTGCCACTATTGCAAAATCTGTAATGCTGTGAAAGTTGGAAGAAAACCAGAGAAGAAGGACACCAGCAGCAAGATGAATGGAGTTAACTGTAGCCACAGTGGATATACAACTGGCAGACCTAAAGCATCTTGGAGACAGATCTTCCTAAAGAGAATCTATGTATTCGCTAAAAGTTGACACCAATTTGATGCCACATAATCATATTATTACCACCTTAAAACCCAGACAAACCACCACTTACTGAATTTCTGTACAGGATTCTGCGGAGCTATTTTCCACTGTTAAAACATTAAGATTTAATCAACTTTCCTTTAATCCATTTAAAATTTATCATTAACAAGTTACCAAAATATAAAAAGATAAGAATTCACCTATAATTCAGTAATCAACTGATTCAATTTCTTCATTTAAGAAATTTTATTTATATTTACTATTTTATTTTTTTAAAGTAATTGTATCTATTTTGCTTTTGTTTTTTCAAACATAATAGAATCTTCTGAGTATAATAAGACTGCAGGTTTTAGATAAAGAAGTGCAGTACTGTGTGTATAAAATGAATTATTCCATTAGGGAAGAATTCTATATTTTGGAAATAGAGATATGACAATAGGTTGAAAGAATATGAATAGTATATTTTTTCTGTTCTAATATGAATCTCTAGAAAATGTATATGCCCGCTCAAAATGAGCCTCTAAATAAAAAATAATAGTGAAATTTCAAAAATTTAGGGATTGAGGGTTTTATATTTGATCATTTTTCAGATGGCAGAAACAAAATGCTGTACCAGAATAAACCACATTTTAAATACATTGAACATGCCGAAGAACGTGAAATTAATTTCATCATTTTTGACCTGAGCAATAAATCTACATACCTCATGAAATTGAATGTATAAGTGCAAGTCTGGGAGTTAAACTATAAAAAATCAGAAGGGGCAATGTTTCAGTCTTTTGAAAACCTTCTAAACACATGATTAAATAAAATAACATCGCTATTTAAGTCAAGATTACTGGTATCTATATCTGCCCAGAAATAAACTGGGAGTCCAGAACTAAGGATTCAAGCATTAAAGTCAACAAATATGCCTCATATTGTTAGGGATATTTGACAGAGAAAAGATCTAGGAAACAAGTTTGACACCTATTTTCCATATCTTGCTGTTCAGTTATCCACTTCATACTGACAGGATTTTCATATATTATTTATTGTTCACAATCCTTTCACATCAGTGAACATCTCGCAGTATTAAATAGTGGTTCTTTCAGTTAAGGTCACTTTTAAAAACAATGATCAAGCAATGTGGAAGATTGCTCACTAATCTAACCCTGACATTTAAAATAATAATAATTGAACTGTCATGTCCTGAATGTTTTCATGAGAATTTTCTAGAAATGCCACAGAATATCAATTCTGAATGTTCTGTCCACAGGAACAGTTTGAGTTTGCCCTGACAGCAGTTGCAGAAGAAGTGAACGCAATACTCAAGGCACTTCCACAGTGAGCAGCCTGTGGTCTGTTGATTGGAGGTTTCTAATGTGGCTGGATGGTCTCTCTCTTTCTCTTTCATTATTCCTGGTCCCTGTGGATGTTGTTGGAAATGTGACCTGATTCTAATTGTGTGTCTGCTGTTGTAACTACATTTTGATTGGTCCTTTACAAATGTCTATTACCAGGTTAAATTCAACCAGGAATTTGTATATTATTTTGGTTAAAATAATCAGAAATAATAATACACCAAGACCTTACGTGATAAGAACAATCCCTCTACTTCTTTTACATCAGTGAAGTCCTAAATTTCATGCTTTGAAAGCACATGCACATCTTGTTAATAGAAAATATACACTGTTTTAGATAAGCAGTACAATAAATGTATGTCCAGCAACACATCATTCTCTTACATTTTTGCCATTTTTCCAAAACTATAAACTCGGGTGGGAAAAATTAATATTTTTAAAAGCACTGATTGCTTTAAGAAAGACCAAGCAAGCCCATAGTATAATCCCTCATGTTTTCATAAACATTAGTTCAATTTATATTTTAAAAAACTATGCGTTTCATGCTGTGTCTTAAGCAAACAGATTTTTTTCCAATTTTCTGTAATGAATAAAAGCAAATCTTAAGCTCAGTTCAGGGACCTGGATGGTTATAACAGCTATGGAGGAAATGTCAGTCCAGTTAGTAGGAGCCCAAGGTTCAAAAAGCACAACAAACTTTTATTATGTGTTGCTACCCTAATGGGAAGAAAGTAGGCAGAATAATTTAACCTCAACAGATTTTTAAAAGCCCTCTACTGACTTCGTGTTGGTTTTCTTTCTATTTTTATAACTTAACATTATTTTATCTTTTTAAACAACCAAACTGTACACTATTTTAAAGATCTTAAGGAGATTCTTCTAACTGCTTCTTATCTGTTGAATTGCTAGCATTGTTATTTTAAACTATAGCAAGTTCTTTGTTTGATATATCCTTGAATTTGCAGAATAATTATAAACCTGAAATTATCTGTTTTCCCTTCTGATTTTCCCTTCTTTATCACTTATATTTCTTGAAAATAATTTTTTTCAGGACTACTGCCACTGTAAAATAATCTGATAATGCCCTGTGAATCATACTTAAAAAGGAAATGTTTAGGTTTCCTCTCTCAATTGCTCCTTTGCACATGCAGTAATTTTTTTAAACATTTCCATGTGCCTAGCGTTTGTTAATTCAAGAGAATGGAACAAGTTTTTGGGACATGTCTACATTTATTTGAAATGTAAAGTAAAAAAAAAATACATTTCAATTACTGTATAGTATGCTACCTATTTATTTCTTCTAACGCTACTGGCTTATATTGTGAATTTCATTCCATAGTACGAGTATACATTTCCAGGAAGATCACAGCAATGATGTTGTGAATTAAATTGCACATTGCAGTTCTTGGGCACAATTCATCAAACATTTTCATTGGGGCTTACATAAGTATTCACCAGCCGCTATTATGGTATCTTCTCTCTTTAACCTTGCAAGCTCCATTGAAACCTACAGAAAACCTGTAGCAGCAACGATTGGAGTATTCAACCCAACTATCTCAACTGTTTAATGTAAGCTTAAATGCAACCTTCTAGTAATTAAAGAATTGTTTCAAAAAGATTTAGATGTATTAACCACTATGTATTTTTCTTCACATTGTTTGTGACATATATAAAATGCTTGGTTTGCATATTTCATTATTAGTCTTGCAAAGCAGTCAAAGTGGATTCTTTTATCCTCTTCATATATTTATTTCTTGCATACAATCACATGGTAGTATGATAATACCAACATTTTACAAGTAGTCTAGTAATAAGTAAAAGAATAGCAGAAAAAATGTCTTTTCATTTGACAATTTATTCTTAACAAGTAAAGAATAGGAATTAAGGGAGATAAATCAATTATGGTGATATCTGTCAAAATGTGTATTAGGCTTACTGGAATTAAACAATATACTATGCATTCTTTACAGATTAACATCTACATCAAAATGAAGATAAACATTCTAAAGAGACAAGTATCACATACTTCATTATTAGATACAGTATTCTTGGAAATATTGTGTTACTAACCTAGAAGAAAATAATTTAGGCCATATTCAAATGACTTACATTTATAAGATCCAGGACAATGTTGAATTGCTTAGAATCTCAATAATATTGTTTCAGTCTGATTTGAAAGGAGCTTATCCAGGCTGGTTTCCAATGGTAAGCAAATAATCTTTGTGGGTTTTTTTCTGTTACTCATTGTTCTTACCACCTACAAGAGGCCTGTCAAACTGGTGGTCTGCGTGCCAGATGCGTCACATGTAGGCCTTGCCCACCCGAGCTCCACAAAAGCAAAAAAGGTAATGATACATCACGATACATCACAAGATGTGATCGAGTTTGACATCCATGATCTAGAAGGTTCTACTATTTGAATTTGCCCGTACAATTTAAATCAGTCCCTCTCATGAAGTGACTAGTACCCTAGCAACAAAGTCTACTTTCAAGCATTTAGCGACAGGTGACTATCAGTACTGGCAAACTATGATTTGTTGTTTCCCACAAGCTAAAATATGAAACCAGGTCATAGATTTTATCATGTAATTCAGACATTGTTGAAAATTACATTTGTTGCAACTTTCTGGCATATTTTTCACTTTCCTTAATGGCTTTCACACACAAAAAGAACGAGATAATTGCATGCTAGGGAAGACTATGCATTTGCATATCATCTTTTGGGATATGATTGTCCAAACAGTAGGTAATACATCAATTCTTTTGTTAATATTTTGTTGTTAATGTGTTAATATTTTGAAATTAAGATGAAGCTGAATATGTTCATAAGAGTCCTGATATGATTAATATATACAACTGTCTCCTCAAACATAGCAGATCCCATCAATTTCTCTTCTTTAGGAAAAGTGGGGTAAACCCAAACTAGCCCATTATCATCCCTCAAGTTGGTATATCACAAGTGTCTAATAATACTGTACTATATGTCCAACATTACGACACATGTAATTCCTGAATAAATAATTATATTTTAACTATTTCTCAGATTCCTTTTAAGGCAAAAGCTAATCAAAGTTACTTTATAAAATGCAATAACATGCAAAAATAAAACACAAAAAGACTAGCCATTATAACAAGCATATCACCCAAAATGGAAGAAAAATTTGAAGCCAATATTAAAACAAAGGTCTGAAGATTTAAATACCGTTCAAAGAGGAAGCACAACCAATGGTTATGTTGTAATAGTTGTGGTATGCCAGTTGGATTATATGAATATGGAACATACTTTAATACCAATCTGCATTCTTTTCTTATATATGCATGCAAATATAAAGCAAGATTTCTGGCAGCATGAAGAAATGTTAGTTATTTTATCTTTTATTTTTAAGTTTTTTATTTACCTTTTATTGTGGCACACAAATCTAATAAATAAAATAAATAATAAATAAAAATAAATTATTTTTTGCATTTCATTTAAACTTTCTGGTTCACGTGTTTGTTTGAAACAAATATACTTTATCTTGCAATTGTTGGGAGATATTTTACACCATTTATTCATCTTTCTGAAGGGAAAGTTCACAGAACCTAAGGTACAGCTGGTTCACAGAGCTATCTTGAATTATTAAAAAGTGCACTCTGGGAAGACTGTCAACTGATATCACTGTATGAGAAAAAGAAAAGAGTAAAAAGGGGCACTTTTCTTTCTCAATCCTGACAGAGGACAGGGATCCCCAATTGCTCCAAAAATGGTATATGCTGTGGGCAGGTTCCATTTTATCTTCTATTTTCCCAAAAGACACAGCCATTTCTCAGCTCCTGCAGTAAACATCTGCCAGCCAGTAGAGCATCACCTGCCAGCTGGTGCATCAAATTATTTTAAAAAATTAAAGCATTTTATCTGTGGATTGTAGAATGCCATTGTGATTCCAGATTTTGAAATGTGTATTAACAGATGAAAGTCAGGCTAAAAAAAAGTCTGAAGTGTCTTCTTTCCTTCCATCATCACAATTATTAAAACTCTGAGGAGAAATGTTGATTGCTCATCTTTCCTCAAATAGAGGTATAAACCTCTGCTTTCACAACCAACAAAGAAATGACTGCAATATTATCTTTAATTTGTAAGTCTGTGCTTTATTAATCAAGCATAATATAAATATAAAAGAGCCATACATAATTATTCGGATAGTTTTTTAAAAATAAAAAGACTAAAACCTGTTGATGTAGAAATAACAAGAATTTGATGAATTCAATTATATAAAGTAATATGTTGTAGATATATGCCTTTTAAAATTATACTTATATTTAGAGAATTCTTGTGGGAATCATTGTGATAATTCATTTTTTAAACAGTTTCTTCAGCCTTTGTTAAATTAGATTAAAAATTATAATATACAATTTTAGTGTGGTATTTAGCAGCTTTTTCCATAGTTTGCAATAAAGCTCAATGTATGCCTACTTGAAAATAAACCCTATTTACTACCAGGTGCATGTAGGATTGCAGCATTTAATTTTGGGTAAACATAAATTACTAAAAACTGTAACAAAGGCTTACAGTCTTCATCTCATAAAAAGATGGCATATTTTGCCCTAAGTTATAGTTGTATATATCAGCCTCTCCAACATTAGGTTCTCCAACACTTCACATTTGTCAAGGCTAAGGACAACCTCACCCCCGTAATGGCTGCTGAACACTAGGAGAAGATAATTTAACCATGGGTATGATCCACCAACCATAATTCTTTGTTTCAGTCAAGTGGGTTCATGACAGCAATCCATTCTAGCAGATTGCATGTATGGAGATTGGTCATCTCCATGATATTTATGGTATTTTCAATTTAGCAATAGCAGTTAGCAGTTAGACTTATATACCGCTTCATAGGGCTTTCAGCCCTCTCTAAGCATTTAACCACTGCTCCAACAGAGATAGTTTGTTCTGTCTTCAGAGAAGAAAATCCCTCCCCAAAAATCTTACTTATAAGCCATGTGAAGTTTTCTAAATATTGCAATGCGGGGAAAGACTGGTGTGATCCAAGAGTTGGCTTGAAGCTAAACAAATGGAAACCCCAAATTTGCTTTATCTTTGAAAGCTCTGGGTACTACTTATTTCCAGGGACCTCCGCGCTTTGTCTTCTCAGCTATTTTCTTCCTTCAATATTTCTCTTTGCATCTTTTTCTGTTGCTAACAGTGGTTTATCTTTCTGTGCTGTGAGCACTGGCCCTTTTCCTTTATGTTGTTCTTATGTTATAAGAATGGAAACCTAGAACAAACAACAATTGAATGAAACATGGCGTTAGAACTCACATGATCCAGCAGAAGAAAACATCTCTTACTATGTCAGCAAAAAATAACTGATAAAAAATTACATCTTTAATTGCCAGTTGATTTAAAGGCAATGCTCCTGCAGCATAAAAACTAGCATTCTGAGGAACACCTGAAGGCTAAGAATATTTTTATATATTTTATATGCATAAGCTCTTGTGGCTGTGCGCCTACAGATAAACATTATTTATTCAGAAAATGTTTACACTACCTATTTGTTCACAGTGACTTAGGCAGCTTACAAGCAAAGACAGTATAGAAAAAAATTACCATCCCCATCCCACCAGTCCCCGGTGATAATACACAATCAACTGAGCCATTTGATGTGTTCCTTCCCACTCTGAGGGGTTCCTCAGGCCTGCTGGCAAAACCAAGTCTTCAGGCCCTTATGAAAGAGAGTCAAAGTGGGGGCCAGTCTAATTTCTGAAGTGATGATATTCTGAAGTAAGGGGCAGAGGGACACCACAGAGAAGGCCTTTCTTCTGGGTCCTGCCTGATGTACCTCCTTAGAGGATGGAACTTGAAACATTCCTTGCCTCCTCACTCTAGTGCAGTGGTTCTCAACCTTCCTAATGCCGTGACCCTTTAATACNGAAACTATCACTATGTGAGATAATAGTAGTGTTTCAATATCTCAGGGGTTGCCACAAAGAAGAGGGAGTCAACCTATTCTCCAAGGCACCTGAGGGTAGAACAGAAAACAAATGGGTGGAAACTAATCAAGGAGCGAAGCAACTTAGAACTGAGAAGGAATTTCCTGACAGTGAGAATAATTAATCAGTAGAACAACTTGCTTCCAGAGGTTGTGAATGCTTCAACACTGGACGTTTTTAAGAAGATGTTGAATAACCATTTGTCTGAAGTGGTGTAGGTTTTCCTGCCTAGGCAGGGGGTTGAACTAGAAGACCTCCAAAGTCCCTTCCAACTCTGTTATTCTATTCTACTGGTATATTGCCGAGATTCCTGCTATAAAGGTAGAAGGGCAATTTTAAAACTTAAATAAATAAATAAATAAATTTCTCGTCCTTATTTGCACTTACGATGCATATTACCATTTCTGTATTAGCGTAGACAGCATTCTGTATTAGACAGCTTTATACCATATCTGGGCCCCAACTTCTTTGCAAAACATAGAGTTCCCTAAATATCCAAGGAACTTCATTCTGAGCACAAGATGCTTTTAGTACCTATATATTGTAGAATATGACTGCTATTCCTCTGGTTGTGGTCTCCCACCTCAATTTCTTCATCCTCCTCTTATCTAGGGGATTAGGCTTTTAATTCTTCACTCTCTTCCTTGTCTCTTCACCATAATTCATCAATTCCTCTGTGTCTACTGATCAGGTCAATCCTGCTGGATGCTTGAAGTATCCTAACCAATTAACACTTTCTTGGTGTCCATATTGCCAATCGATTAAGCTGCTCCTGCCTGCTGTGAGCTCTTACTGCAGCAAAGACAGAAGCTGGACCCCAGACACCACGTCAAACGAGAATTAATGAAAAGCTGGTTCAGACTGACAGCTCAAAAGCTTTTGACTTCTGGAAGCTACAGAGAAGCCTTTTCGGGGTTCATTGCACCCTCAAAGCACAGAAAAGAAATAACATCTGTCATTAAAGTGTGAAGTATACTTGAAATAAATATATAACAGATAGACAAGAGCAAAAAAAAAATTACCACCATACTAATATATTCCAGGAGCTTAATACAGAACAGCCAGCAAAAAGACAGCCAAAGCTCATACACTGAAACACAAGACACCCTTGAACATTGCAACAACTGCATCACCTTCTTAAAATGGAGTATAGCACAAATGGTGTTTGATCATTGCATGGTTGCAAAACAATACATGTGCAGACAGTATCAGATGAAATAAGAACAGGAGATGGATAATTTCAGTTGGCTGATTCACTGAATTCCAATAATAAGGGATATGCTCCCTTGAGCTAGTATTGAACAAGGCAGGTTAATAGATTGGTTTCAAGGAAGTCTACGTTTAAATTCATACTTAATGCTCTCCTGAAGTAACTTAGGCAGAATACCAGAGGTGGGTTCCTACCGGTTCACAGCGGTTCAGTCGAATAGGTAGTAACTTGGTGGCCTGGGTCCCTGGAACCGTTAGCGACCCAGGCCTGCCACGCCCCTGAACTGGTTCTCCTACAGCGACTCCATCTTGTATTCCACTTCTGCGCATGCGCAGAACAATTTTCATTGAAAAATTATTTTTTTAGGTTTTGCTCCTGAACAAACCTTTTTATTTGCAAATGTGCATGCTCATGGAGCATGCATTCAATGTGCACATGAATGCAGCAAGCGTGCGTTCAGTGTGCATGTGAGTGCAGCAGCGCACAAGCGCAAAATTTTTGCATACACCGAACCGGCAGTAATGCCGGCAGCAACCCACCGCTGCAGAACACATATAATATACAATGTCCTTACAGTATACAAAACTTGTACTCAGTATTTTGATAGGAGTGTTACATGCAATCACCTCTTTCTATAGACAAGTTTACTATCTGTTCATTAAACAAAGAAAAAGATAGAAAGGATTGCAAGAACAAATAAATACAATAGCATCTAAATTAATTTCAATCTGATCTCAACAGTTTTATGCCCAGGAAGCATGTCACACTGTATATCTGGAAACACATTGGCAGTTGCGGAGTGAAGGAAAGTGAGTGTGCTGCAAAGGTAACAAACCAATGATGGAATCCCTGAATTGAAAAATAGAGGATGAATATCACTGAAACTTGAGAAATCATAATTCAATTCTGTTTTGAGCCTTCCTGAAATTTTCCCATGTCAGAAATACCTAT